TAATTAAAACACATTTTCCTTATTTGTTACAATTTATAAAAATATAACTTTACCATCATAAAAATAAACAAAAAACATTTTATATATAAATATAACTAACTTTTATGAGTCTCCCGTTGTATATACGCTATGATTGCGGGTAAATCGTAATCTACCATCTCGTCTATGGAGAAACTCCAGAACTCGGGGTCTATTAACAGGAGTTGAAAAACACAATAAAAAATGAATGTAAACAAATAATTTACTCAAAATCAAATGTTACTGTACTGTACATACCACCACTATCATAATAGGTGTGATTGATCGAGTATATATTACCCCGTGAATTGGCCAGCCATACGTCATACCCGTTCACCGCCAGCACAAACCCCAATGTATTGCCTACTGGGCTGTCGTTGTTGCCCTCAACCCACTGGCCGTCTCGCGTGAGTTCGCCGCACGAGTTAATTAGCCATACGTTAGCGCTATTTCCAAAACTATGTTGTAATAACACGGGTCGTAAACCAGCGCGATCGCGAACGTGCGGGTTAATGATCCTGGTCACTGTCAGTATGTAATCGTCCTCGGTGGTTATGTAGTGGTTTTCGGCCCGAAAGCCACGTGATTTTATGATTTCTGCCTGCGAATATGGTCAAATAATGTTTATAATTAAAGCATAGCAACAAAAAATACTGCATAAATACAACTACAGTTTTTATGTAAGTAACGATTGATCAGAGAAATCAATCACGATTGGTTCATGTAAATTTAATATTAAAATAATATTAATTGTATATCTTCTGTGCATGATTTGATCTGTTATTTATTAGGCTACAAAATACTGAAAACCATTTTGCCGTAACTATTGTGGTTACCGAGAAATTACCGCCCGAAGAGACCGACCTTCGGAAACACTTTGGCACTTATACCCGACGGGAATTAATATACAGTAAAATTATGTAATAATAAGAATCAGATTATGCACATTATATATCGAAACACCATATTTGGTATAAATCTCGGTTCCTAAACATGTAATTTAGCATATCTATCAAGATTTATAAATCGCAAATGTTACTTCCCATAGAATAGCATTGCCAAAGTGTTTCTGGAGGTCGGTCTCTACGGGCGTGGATTTCTCGGTAACCACAATAGTTACGGCAAAATATTTTTCAGTATTTTGTAGCCTAATAAATAACAGTTCAAATGATATACAAAAGATCTACAATTAATATTAATTTAATATGTAATTACATGAACCAATCGTGATTGATTTCTCTGATCAATCGTTACTTACATAAAAACTGTAGTTGTATTTATGCAGTATTTTTTGTTGCTATGCTTTAATTATAAACATTATTTGACCATATTCGCAGGCAGAAATCATAAAATCACGTGGCTTTCGGGCCGAAAACCACTACATAACCACCGAGGACGATTACATACTGACAGTGACCAGGATCATTAACCCGCACGTTCGCGATCGCGCTGGTTTACGACCCGTGTTATTACAACATAGTTTTGGAAATAGCGCTAACGTATGGCTAATTAACTCGTGCGGCGAACTCACGCGAGACGGCCAGTGGGTTGAGGGCAACAACGACAGCCCAGTAGGCAATACATTGGGGTTTGTGCTGGCGGTGAACGGGTATGACGTATGGCTGGCCAATTCACGGGGTAATATATACTCGATCAATCACACCTATTATGATAGTGGTGGT